ATATATATATATATATATATATATAAATATATATATATATATATATATATATATATATATATATATGTATATATATATATATATATATATATATATATATATATATATATATATATATATATTATTATAGATGTATATATAGATATGTATATATATATATTATTATATATATATATATATATATATATATATATATATATATATATATATATATATATATATTGAAAATAATGATGCTAATAATAATAAATATATTAACAATAAAGATTATAACATATTGAAAGTAATAAGGATCATGATAACAATGATAACATTAACGTTCTAATAATTAGAATAAAGATGATAACATTATTGATGCAAATAGCAGTAGTAGTGATAATGATAAACTAATTATAACAACAGCAATAATGTGGAATCTGTGGCGACCGCAAAAGCTTTCATTATCGCCATTATTCATCTTCACCAAAAGGGTTGGAATCGGCGCTGATAACCTTTTCTGAACAAATACCGGAATTTATAGTATTTATAGTCATTTTCCTTCTTCCATTCCTTTCTCTGTCTTTTCCTTTCTTTTTTTTCGTTTGTTTGTTTGTTTCTCTCTCTGCTTTCCTTACCTTCTGTGAATGAATGTTTTTGTGAAGTGTGGTTACATGTGGAATGTGTACTTAGAGAAAATGTTAATCATCTTTTTTATGTATTATTGATGTGCCTTACTATCGATTATATTAAATGTCTAATAAACTAGAAACGTAGAATTGTGTAAGGTATGATAAATTTTCTGAGAAAGGATAAAATGTATGTATATTTATATGCGCATATATCTGCTGTTTATTAAAAGATGAAATAGCATATTGTGTTTATTAATGATTTCTGAAAGTGAATATATATATATATATATATATATATATATATATAAATATACATATATATAGGTATATATATATATATATATATATATATATATATATATATATATAATATATATATATATATATATATATATATATATATATATATATATATATATATATATATATATATACAAGCATCATTTCCTACAGAAAAACTGTGAAGTAAAATAGAACATCTGCTGTACATATGTAAATAACATAGTTTCTTAATTCTTCCGTCTTTCATTTACTACACCCTCATAGTGACACCCAAAACACTTCTTTCCAATTCGAAGAAGACTGACAATCGCACAGAAGACGAAGGAAACGGCTGAGGTGTGTTCGCTGACGTCATGCGGAGGGGACCGAGGGGGGGGGGGGGGGAATCTTGCAAGTCTCTAAGAAATCCCATGATGCTTATTCGAGCTTTGAAAGAAAGTGACCTTTTTGGATTTTCGACTTTTTAAAATGATTGCTGAGTAAAAACCAAAGAAGGATTTAAAACAAGTGATATGCATGTATATATATATATATATATATATAATATATATATATATATATATATATATATATATATACATATATATATATATATATATATATATATATATATATATATATATATATAATATATATATATATATATATATATATATTTATACATATATATGTATGTATATATATATATATGTGTGTGTGTGTGTGTGTGTGTACGTATGTATACTTATACATATATTATATATATATATATATATATATATAATATATATATATATATATATATATATATATTATAAATATATATAATATATATATATATACATTAATATATATATATATATATATATATATATATATATATATATATATATATATATATATATATATATAAACACACACACACATGCATTTATAAATACGCGCACGAACACACACATACACGCAAATGTACTTGCACGGTACACCCAAACACACACATACATAATAACAATACACACGCGCACACAAACACACTTATACGAACACAAAACGCACACAAATACCCAGGCTATATCCATTTCATATTTTAGATAAATGCATGCTAATATTATTCTACGTATCAATTGATATGTTTTGTACACACGCTCACGTACACTTATATTCTACAATGCCGTAGAAATATTTGCACAGACTTGTGAGTACGAATCAGTCAAGTTGAGTTATGAAGCAAATGCATTTTCCTCAGGTGAAGCGAGCTCTTGAAGTAACAAAAGGTATTTTCGGGTCTGTCTGGAAGGTACTTTACGATATAACATCCAGGATATACGATATACCATTCTCTCCGAAACGCTTCCTCTCTCTTGCCGACTCAGGCTACGTTTTAGGGTGGGATCGCATTAAGGCCCTACCACACTATCACTTTTTCCGTCAATTTCTTTCTCCGCAAGTATCGTTTGCAAACGGAACGCCTCCCAGACCAAGACGGTTACGACCGTCTTGGTCTGGGAGGCCATGTTTGGTTTACACATGGGTCAGTCGATTTTTATTAGGGAGAGTTCATTCGGAAACTCAAAGAATTGACGGAAAAAGTGATAGTGTGATAGCCCTATCACACTATCACTTTTTCCGTCAATTTTTGCGTTTCCGTCTGAGTTTGAGGACTTCCGCAAGTATCGTTTGCAAACGGAACGCCTCCCAGACCAAGACGGTTACGACCGTTTCCGTCTGACTAATTTCCGTCTTGTGCTCTGGAGGATCTATACGACTAGAATGTTTTTTATTGATAAATTAGATAAAGTGAATAAATGTAAATATAAGCTAATATTTTAGACCATTTGTGTATACTGTTGTATGCACGAATGGTGTATGCAATATTTATTTAGGATAACGTAATACGTATGTTGAATGTTTGTGTGATTCCCGGGACTTAACTCCGATAGCGCCATGTTTGTTTCCATGGGCAATGTTTGCTGCCTTCGTAACGTGATAAGGTCAGTCGATTTTCATATGGAAAGTTTATTCGGAAACGCAAAAAATGTCGGAAAAAAGTTATAGTATGATTGGGCCTTTAGCCAATTTCCAAGTATC